CTCTGAAGGCTGCGTCCTGGTCTCTGCCCTCGGTGTCCCAGTAGCTGGCTCGGTGCCGGGGCACAGGGTGTGTGTCCCAGTGTCTATGACTGTGTGTGAGTTCGGGTGCCCAGCCATCCCGAGAGGCCAGTCTGGGTGCTAGGCCAGGCGGTGCCCACAGATTGGGCCCGTAGCAAAGCTAGGACCCTGCACAACCTGTGATGGTGGTCAAACAGCCGAATGGCATGAAGGGGCATGAGCTTCCAGGTGTCGTGTGCAGGAGCCTTCACAGTTCCTAAAATGGTGATATCACGACAGCCGAGGGCACAGGCCTTGGCACTGTCCCGCCCACCCCGGATGTGTGCAGTCTCATGAAGGGCCTGTGAGGGGAGCAGCGTTTTTATTGGTGCTCAGAGGTTGAGTGACACTGCTCTGTGCAGGACCAGGGTCAGGCAGGGCCCATCCCTGACCAAAGGAGGGCTACGGCCTTGAGCCAGGAAGCGTGGTGTGGCGCAGCCAGGGCAGCCAGGACCATGGTCAGGCGAGGAGCTTCGTGAGCTTTCAGGGCCCCAGACCTGGGCTGGGCTGGAGGAAGTGGGGCTGAGCTACACCCAGACAGGGTGAGCCAAGGAAGCTGGCGGGCAGGGTCTTCCAGGGGCTTCCAGGGGCTTCTAGGTGCTGGTGAGTAGGGAGAATCCCTGGGCCTGCTGGCCCTGGAGAGAACTCTGCTCAGCAGCAGGACATCTGGGCCAAGGTGGGGACACAGCAGGCCGGGCGGGAGCACACGGGGCGGCAGAGCAGGGACATGCAGGAGGATGGGCGGCGGCAGCTGGGCTGGCAGAAGGAGGCAGGGCCACAGCAGGAGGAGGCGGGCACGCAGCAGGCAGGCCTGCACACGGGGCGGCAGATGAGGGACACGGAGGAGGAGGGTCTGCAGCAGAATGAGCAGCAGTACGTGGGCTGGCAGCAGGAGGGAACTGTGACCCCAGAGCAGACAGGCACATACAGCTCTCTTGGCAATTGTCCACTTGCCCGGAGGAGCCAAGGCGAGTGCTCGGGGCGCATATGTGGCTGCCACAGCTCAGGTCACTGGAGCAGACGGACAGGGTAGACGTGGCGGTAACACAGGTTCTGGAGCAGCAGGTGTCTGCCAAGCCAGACTTCTGAGTGTGGCTGGTGACGGCTGGTCACTGGAGGAGTGTTTGTGCCCTGAGAGCAAGTGCTGAGACGCAGAGATCCCGAAGGACGGCTCAGGAGGTGGGTGTGACTCTGAGGCCTAGCCCCTCTGTGCAGCTCTAGCATGAGTTCCAGGCTCGGGGTGCTTTGCACCAGCAGATGCTGCACTTGTGTCCCACACCGTCCTCCACGGAGCAAGGGGGCCTCGGCCAAGAGGAGTGCCCCCTTGCCTGTGACCCACAAACCCCATAGGGCGTCAATGGCTCTTCTCTGGGTGCTTCTCTCCCAATGTCCGTCCAAGACCCTGTTCTTAGTTCCCCTTTTATCTCGATTACTGTGCACATTCTGTTATTTCTTGAGTTTTCAGTTTTAGATACGAGCTGATTTCTGTGGAGGAGGCAGGCACTCCTTCTTTGCCACCAGCCCCGCGAAAACCCCCACTTCCCAACCCCAAAGGGCAGCCTGACCCTAATATTGGTTACATCTGTGTTCACACCCGTATTATTTTAACTGAGTGTTGCTCACAGCCACGTCTGTGTAGTGCAGTGGTTCTCACCCTTCTGGCCCTTTAAGTACAGTTCCTCATGTTGTGACCCAACCATAAAATTATTTTCGTTGCTACTTCATAACTGTCATGTTGCTACTGTTATGAATCATAATGTAAATATATGATACGCAGGATGGTCTTAGGCGACCCCTGTGAAAGGGCCATTCGACCGCCAAAGGGGTCGCGACCCACAGGTGGGAACCGCTGGCCTAGTGGAACAGATGTTAACATCCTTACGTGCATGTGTTTTGTTTCTTGCTTGATTTTCCTTTCGTGGGATTAACGATGGCCTCTTGTGTATGTTTGCTTGTTGTCCTGTGTGCCGTCCTCAAATCGTCCCCGAGCTCCGCTCAACAGGTTCACACGCATCAGGTGACCGGTCAGCTTCACTGAGAAACCCCTCCTGGAGCCCCTGTGGCTGCGGCTGGCCCCCAACAGGTGCAGAGGCGTCACCCGGCTTCTCCGATCACTGTTTGTCTGGATGCTCCCTCCTCTCCCCAGTCACGGAGCTCTGACTTCCTGGATGGGGTGTGGTTTCCTCCCTGGGTTTTCGCCTTGTTTTGGTGGAGCACACCCTCCAGGAGCTTCTGAAATTGGTGCAGCAGAGAGGAACGTGTGAGCCCAGCATGGTCACAATGCCTCTGTTCTGCCTTCGTAGCTGATGGATCGCTTCGATGAGTATAGTCCTCCGGATTAAAGAAGTTTCCCCTTAGACCAGCGGCTCTTAACCTGTGGGTCGTCAACCTGTGGGTAGCAACCCCTTTGGGGATCGAGCGACCCTTTCACAGGGGTCTCCTAAGACCATCAGAAAACACATACATAATTACATATTGTTTTTGTGATTAATCACTATGCTTTCATTGTGTTCAATTTGTAACAATGAAAATACATCCTGCATATCAGATATTTACATCACGATTCATAACAGCAGCAAAATTACAGTTATGAAGTAGCAACGAAAATAATTTTATGGTTGGGGGTCACCACAACATGAGGAGCTGTATTAAAGGGTCGCGGCATTAGGAAGGTTGAGAACCACTGCCTTAGACTATTTCTTGAAGATGTGCAACGTTTCCAGAAATGTAAACGTTCCTTGTGCTGTTTCTTAGTTCACCCACCTCCCCAAGGAGAAGTCACGATTCCACCTTCTCTCCTCCTTAGTTAGTTCTGCCTGTCTGTCTGCTCTTTCATTTATGGCCCATATTGCAAAAAAAGAAAAAAAAAAGAAAAATGCCTATAATAAACACATGTTGCTGCGTGAATCAGTAGTTCTTTTTTTGTGTGTGTTTGCTGTGAGGTAAATCATTGCATTTCAAACCCTGCTTTATGTTATTTATCCATTCTCTTTGTCAATGATGGAAATTTTTATTATTTCCAGATTTTGGCTAATATTAATAATGCTGTTATGAAAAATCTTGTACAATTTGGTTTTGATGAATATATTTAGTACTTTCAGGGTACAAATGCAAATAGAATTATTGGGTCACACGACAGGGATGAGTTTAGTTTAGTATATACCGCCCAACAAGTTTCTAAAGAAATGTACCTTCCTATTAGGCAATTTTATGAATTCCAATTGCTGTATATCCTGTATAAATGGAGGTATTGTCAATCTTTAAAAATCTTACACATTTTGGAAAGTGTGTGAGGGAATGGTGTTGTTGCATTAATTTGCTTTCCCTGATTAGTACAGCTGCTCACAGAACATTTGAGTATCATTTCTTACAGGTGCTTGTTCAAGCCAATTGCTAGTCTTAGTTAAATAGGGTCATTGTACTTTCTGATTTGTAGAAAATGATTACATATTCTGAATCTGAGTTCTTTGTTGCCTATGTGCAGGGTCTGATGAAAAATGTTTAATAACTGGCTGCCTGTGAAACAAAAACAACAAAAAAGACCCGATTGAGGTGTCTGCCCATTTCCATGGTGTAACTATTCTCACAATTGCTCCCAATGTGATGTTACTGAACACTGAGCTGGGAAGAGAGGTGCCTTGTCAGCTCTCAGGAGCTGGGCAAGGCGGCCTCGGCGCACCCTGGGCGTCTGTGCATTGCGAATCTCTCCTCCCGCCTGGGGCTGTGTTTTTCATCCTCCTGGTCATATTCTTTAAACAAGTCAGTGTCACTCAAGTGGGATTTACATGTTGTAACATGTGCCTGTCTACCCTCTAGGCCTGTTAGTTATTATCAGCCTTGAACTTTGTTTTCATTCTGACGGGTGTTGGGGTCCTCAGCACCCCCGTTTCGATGACGCTCTAGAGCTCTCAGGACACGGCACACAGAGCTGAGTCAGCGCAGGAAAAGGCTCCTGGAAAGGTGGTGGGACATCAGGTGGGGCTTCCAGGGCCTGTCCCGGGGGATCATGCAGGAGGCACTGAACTGCTCACAGGGAGTGTGACAGCACCTGTGAGGTGTCTACCGGGGAGCTAGTCAGAGATCAGGGCCCAGGGTTTTATCGGGGGCTGGTCACATGGCACCTCTGCCCGGCACTTCCCCAAACCCCAGGCTCCAAGAGGGAGAGCAGGTGTCAGCACAGGCGGTTTCGGCCCATTGAGGCACCCTAGTCACATGTGCTGGGGACCTGCTGTGCGAACCCCTTCCTGAACCAGCCCTTCTGAGTGGGACGCTGAAGGCAGCCTGAGTCACCCCTGAGGAGTAGCCCCTCCCCAGGGCAGGCACTGCTGTCAGATGATCAAGCTTTTGTGTCCAGAAAGATGTCCACCTCCTGGACATAGATGTGGTCAGAGTGAGGGAGGGCTCCCAGGTCACCACTGAGGGGCAGGAACATGGTGGCCCTCGGAATGAGCTGGGGTCAACCCTACCTGGGGGTGTCAGGTAGGGGTCTTTGTTGTAAACAACAGAAATGAATCCTGTAAATGCATCAGCACGGACTTTATTAAGGGGAAGACTGTACACAGAATGGGGGGGGTGGTTGGGGGGAGTGAAGAAGCCAGCACAGGAGGCAGTGGGGTGCTAAGCCACACGGGTGAGGTGGCGAGGAGAAACCAGCTTCTCTCCCTTCACTCCTCTCAAGGCCCCAAGGCCTGGAGCGTCCAGCTGGCCTCCCTGGGTCACTACCAGCCGGGCTGGGTGGCAGGGCACGTTGCTTTGGGGGAAGTCAGTGGAGAAATGGGTGACCTGTTTCCAGAGGGAGAAAGGCACAGCGCTGGCCGGGCGACCACAGATGCTCAGTGCGGGGACCCATGAAGGGACTTGGCAGCGTCTTGGCTCTTAGTAAAGAATCCTGGGGTACAGATGGCTTGAGCTCTTGAGTGTTTGGGTGCCCTTAAGAAGATCCCTCAGCAGCAGGATTTCTGGGCCGAGGCGGGGACACAGCAGGCCGGGCGGGAACACACGGGGCGGCAGAGCAGGGACATGCAGGAGGACGGGCGGCAGCAGCTGGGCTGGCAGGAGGAGGCAGGGCCACAGCAGGAGGAGGCGGGCACACAGCAGGCAGGCCTGCACACGGGGCGGCAGATGAGGGACATGCAGGAGGAGGGTCTGCAGCAGGATGAGGTGCAGGGGGTGGGCTGGCAGCAGGAGGAGGCCCCAGAGCAGACGGGCACACAGCACAGGGGCTTGCAGCATACGGGTGTGCAGCAGACGGGTGTGCAGCAGGTCTGCTGGCACGGGGAGGAGGTGCAGCAGGAGGACTGGCAGCATGAGGGTGTGCAGGAGCTGGTGAAGGCTGATTGGCAGGGGCTGGGATCACAAGTCACCTGGCTGCAGGGGCTGGACATGCAGCTCACTGGGGTGCTGATGAGGGTCAGGCAGGAAGCTGGGGCACAGCAGCTGGGGACACAGCAGGTGGGCTGGCAGCAGCTTGGGACACAGCAGGTGGGCTGGCAGCAGCTGGGGACACAGCAGGTGGGCTGGCAGCAGCTGGGGACACAGCAGGTGGGCTGGCAGCAGCTGGGGACACAGCAGGTGGGCTGGCAGCAGCTGGGGACACAGCAGGAGGGCTCACAGCAGCTCTCTGGACAGTCGTCCACCTGCCAGGAGGAGTCGGTGCAAGAGTCACTGGAGCCGGACAGGCAGGCGCGGTTGCCATAGCTCAGGTTGCTGGAGCAGACGGACAGGGCGGATGCGGCCATGGTGGGGCAGTGGACTTAGGTGAACTAGGCGGAGGGTATGAGTGTGAGTATGAGGGTGAGTGAGAGTGTGAGTGTGTAAGGTTCCTGGGCTGCAGGCTTTTATACCCTCTCTGGCTGTGTTTCCCACAGGATGCCTGCACGGCTTCTTCCTTGTTTGTGTTTGGGACACAGGGCACTCTCATTAGTGCCGGGTTTGTGTTTTTGTTCTGAGTTGTTGCTCAGCGATAAAGCTAAAAGGTCAGTGATGGCAAACCTATGACAAGGCATGCTATTTGCTGACACACACCGGTAAAGTTGGCAGGTCAGCCAGTGGCACCTCCAAGTCCCTGGGTGCGCAGTGCACATCCCTGTCTCCCGTCTGAGCGCTCAGTGAGGGACAGACCCGGCGCCTGTCCACAGCCTCCCCAGCCATCGGCATGTTCCCGACCCTGAGAGCTGTGTGTGTGAGCCAGAGGTCCCTGTGTGCCTCCCTGCAGAAAGCACCGCCAGCACGGCCAGGCCTCTGTATGGAAAACGAGCCTGCTTGTGCCTCCTGTTTACTTTCCTGATTGTTAATCCTACAGAATAAAAGGCTAATATACAAATTGACTGAACACCAGAAGGACTGCTTGCTGCGATGCGCACTGGCAACCAGGGGGCAGAGACTCAGGGCAGGAGCTGCCCCCTGGTGGTCAGTGCGCTACCACAGGGGGAGTGCACCTCAGCCACATCCCCTCAGTCAGACCTTCCTCAAGGCCTCCTGGACTGCTAAAGGGCGCAGGCCAGGCCCAGGGACTGCTCCCACCCCCCAGTGATGTTCGCAAAACGGGTGTCTGCAGGCTTTGCTCTGCAGCCCTCGATCTGGGAGTCTGCTCTCAGATTTGCTCAGTCAGGCGTGAACCTGTTAAATAGGGTTATTGTACTTTCTCATTTGTAGAAAATGATTATAAATTCTGACTCTGAGTTCTTTGTTGCCTATGTGCGGGGTCTGCTGGAAAATGTTTAATAACTGGCTGCCTGTGAAACAAAAACAACAAAAAAGCCCCGAGTGAGGTGTCTGCCCATTTCCGTGGTGTAACTATTCTCACCATTGCTCCCAATGTGATGTTACTGAACACTGAGCTGGGAAGAGAGGTGCCTGGTCAGCTCTCAGGAGCTGGGCAAGGCGGCCTCGGCGCACCCTGGGCGTCTGTGCATTGCGAATCTCTCCTCCCGCCTGGGGCTGTGTTTTTCATCCTCCTGGTCATACTCTGTTAACAAGTCAGTGTCACTCAAGTGGGATTTACATGTTGTAACATGTGCCTGTCTACCCTCTAGGCCTGTTAGTTATTATCAGACTTGAACATTGTTTTCATTCTGATGGGTGTTGGGGTCCTCAGCCCCCCCGTTTCGATGACTCTCTAGAGCTCTTAGGACTCGGTACACGGAGCTGAGTCAGCGCAGGAAAAGGCTCCTGGGAGGTGGTGGGACATCAGGTGGGGCTTCCAGGGCCTGTCCCGGGGGATCATGCAGGAGGCACTGAACTGCTCACAGGGAGTGTGACAGCACCTGTGAGGTGTCTACCGGGGAGCTAGTCAGAGATCAGGGCCCAGGGTTTTATCGGGGGCTGGTCACATGGCACCTCTGCCCGGCACTTCCCCAAACCCCAGGCTCCAAGAGGGAGAGCAGGTGTCAGCACAGGCGGTTTCGGCCCATTGAGGCACCCTAGTCACATGTGCTGGGGACCTGCTGTGCGAACCCCTTCCTGAACCAGCCCTTCTGAGTGGGACGCTGAAGGCAGCCTGAGTCACCCCTGAGGAGTAGCCCCTCCCCAGGGCAGGCACCGCTGTCAGATGATCCATCTTTTGTGTCCAGAAAGTATGTCTACCTCCTGGACATAGATGTGGTCAGAGTGAGGAAGGGATCCCAGGTCACCACTGAGGGGCAGGAACATGGTGGCCCTGGGAACCACCTGGGACCAACCCTACCTGGGGATGTCAGGTAGGGGTCTTTGTTGTAAACAACAGAAATGAATCCTGTAAATGCATCAGCACGGACTTTATTGGAGGCGACTGACCGTACACAGAAGGGGGTGGGGGAGTGAAGAAGCCAGCACAGGAGGCAGTGGGGTGCTAAGCCACACGGGTGAGGTGGCGAGGAGAAACCAGCTTCTCTCCCTTCACTCCTCTCAAGGCCCCAAGGCCTGGAGCGTCCAGCTGGCCTCCCTGGGTCACTACCAGCCGGGCTGGGTGGCAGGGCACGTTGCTTTGGGGGAAGTCAGTGGAGAAATGGGTGACCTGTTTCCAGAGGGAGAAAGGCACAGAGGTGGCCGGGCGACCACAGATGCCCAGTGCGGGGACCCATGAAGGGACTTGGCAGCGTCTTGGCTCTTAGTAAAGAATCCTGGGGTGCAGATGGCTTGAGCTCTTGAGTGTTTGGGTGCCCTTAAGAAGATCACTCAGCAGCAGGATTTCTGGGCCGAGGCGGGGACACAGCAGGCCGGGCGGGAGCACACGGGGCGGCAGAGCAGGGACATGCAGGAGGACGGGCGGCAGCAGCTGGGCTGGCAGGAGGAGGCAGGGCCACAGCAGGAGGAGGCGGGCACGCAGCAGGCAGGCCTGCACACGGGGCGGCAGATGAGGGACATGCAGGAGGAGGGTCTGCAGCAGGATGAGGTGCAGAGGGTGGGCTGGCAGCAGGAGGAGACCCCAGAGCAGACGGGCACACAGCACAGGGGCTTGCAGCAGACGGGTGTGCAGCAGATGGGTGTGCAGCAGGTCTGCTGGCACGGGGAGGAGGTGCAGCAGGTGGGCTGGCAGCATGAGGGTGTGCAGGAGCTGGTGCAGGCTGATTGGCAGGGGCTGAGATCACAAGTCACCTGGCTGCAGGGGCTGGACATGCAGCTCACTGGGGTGCAGATGAGGGTCAGGCAGGAAGCTGGGGCACAGCAGATCGGGGCACAGGAGGTGGGCTGGCAGCAGCTTGGGACGCAGCAGGTGGGCTGGCAGCAGCTGGGGACACAGCAGGTGGGCTGGCAGCAGCTGGGGACACAGCAGGTGGACTGACAGCAGCTGGGGGCGCAGCAGGAGGGCTCACAGCAGCTCTCTGGACAGTCGTCCACCTGCCAGGAGGAGTCGGTGCAACAGTCACTGGAGCCGGGCAGGCAGGCGCGGTTGCCATAGCTCAGGTCGCTGGAGCAGACGGACAGGGTGGATGCGGCCATGTTGGGGCAGTGGGGCTGAGGTGAACGAGGTGGAGGGTGTAAGTGTGAGTGTGAGTGTGAGTGTGAGTGTGTAAGATTCCTGGGCTGTTGGCTTTTATACCCTCTCTGGCTGTGTTTCCCCGGAGGATGCCTGCACGGCTTCTTCCTTGTTTGTGTTTGGGACACAGGGAACTCTCATTAGTGCGGGTTGTGTTTTCGTTCTGTGAGCTGTTGCTCAGCGATAAAGCTCCTAGGGCAGTGATGGCGAACCTTTTGAGCTCGGCGTGTCAGCATTTTGAAAAACCCTAACTTAACACTGGTGCCGTGTCACATATAGAAATTTTTTGATATTTGCAACCATAGTAAAACAAATACTTATATTTTTGATATTTACTTTATATATTTAAATGCCATTTAACAAAGAAAAATCAACCAAAAAAATGAGTTTGTGTGTCACCTCTGACACGCGTGTCTTAGGTTCGCCATCACTGTCCTAGGGTGTTGTGTGCTCTGCTGATGCATCCCCAGCCGCCTTTAGTTCATAACATTGAGGTAGAAGGCGTGTGTGTCTGCAAAGAGCATGCCCCGGGGTCTGAGTTGGCCTCACGACAAGACCATCCCTCCTAGTCCCGCTGCCCTTTCTGGACACCTGGGATGTGCTGGGAACACTTGGGGATTCTGAGCGTTTGGCTGCCACGGCTTCCCTAGTGCCTGGCTGGAGAGGCCTGGGCCAGAGAGGGAAGAAGGCGGCAGCATGTCTAACTGTGGTTCCCCAGCATGCCCTCCGGTTCAGGGACTCCCCTGGGGCAGGTGACAAGCAGGGAAAGTTGTCAGGTCTGTCAGTGGCACCTCCATGTCCCTGGGTGCGCAGTGCACACCCCTGTCTCCCGTCCAAGTGCTCAGTGAGGGACAGACCCGGCGCCCCGTCCACAGCCTCCCCACGACATAGGCATGTTCCCGACCCTGAGAGCTGTGTGTGTGAGCCAGTGGTCCCTGTGCGCCTCCCTGCATGAAGCACCGCCACCACGGCCAGGCCTCTGTATGGAAAATGAGCCTGCTTGTGCCTCCTGTTTACTTTCTTGGTTGTTAATCCTACAGAATAAAAGGCTAATATACAAATTGACCGAACGCCAGAACAAAGGTTGCTATGATGCGCACTGACCACCAGGGGTCAGACGCTCAGCACAGGAGCTGCCCCCTGGTGGTCAGTGCGCTCCCACAGGGGGAGTGCCACTCAGCCACATCCCCTCAGTCAGACATTCCTCAAGGCCTCCTGGACTGCTAAAGGGCGCAGGCCAGGCCCAGGGACTGCTCCCACCCTGAGTGATCTGCACATCACCAGTGCCTGCAGGCTTTGCTCTGCAGTCCTCGATCTGGGAGTCTGCTCTCAGATTTGCTCAGTCGTGCGTGAACCTGTTAAATAGGGTTATTGTACTTTCTGATTTGTAGAAAATGATTATATATTCTGACTCTGAGTTCTTTGTTGCCTATGTGCGGGGTCTGCTGGAAAATGTTTAATAACTGGCTGCCTGTGAAACAAAAACAACAAAAAAGCCCCGAGTGAGGTGTCTGCCCATTTCCGTGGTGTAACTATTCTCACCATTGCTCCCAATGTGATGTTACTGAACACTGAGCTGGGAAGAGAGGTGCCTGGTCAGCTCTCAGGAGCTGGGCAAGGCGGCCTCGGCGCACCCTGGGCGTCTGTGCATTGCGAATCTCTCCTCCCCGCCTGGGGCTGTGTTTTTCATCCTCCTGGTCATACTCTGTTAACAAGTCAGTGTCACTCAAGTGGGATTTACATGTTGTAACATGTGCCTGTCTACCCTCTAGGCCTGTTAGTTATTATCAGACTTGAACATTGTTTTCATTCTGACGGGTGTTGGGGTCCTCAGCCCCCCCGTTTCGATGACTCTCTAGAGCACTTAGGACTCGGTACACAGAGCTGAGTCAGCGCAGGAAAAGGCTCCTGGGGAGGTGGTGGGACATCAGGTGCAGCTTCCAAGGCCTGTCCCGGGGGATCATGCAGGAGGCACTGAACTGCTCACAGGGAGTGTGACAGCACCTGTGAGGTGTCTACCGGGGAGCTAGTCAGAGATCAGGGCCCAGGGTTTTATCGGGGGCTGGTCACATGGCACCTCTGCCCGGCACTTCCCCAAACCCCAGGCTCCAAGAGGGAGAGCAGGTGTCAGCACAGGCGGTTTCGGCCCATTGAGGCACCCTAGTCACATGTGCTGGGGACCTGCTGTGCGAACCCCTTCCTGAACCAGCCCTTCTGAGTGGGACGCTGAAGGCAGCCTGAGTCACCCCTTTGGAGTAGCCCCTCCCCAGGGCAGGCACCGCTGTCAGATGATCCATCTTTTGTGTCCAGAAAGTATGTCCACCTCCTGGACATAGATGTGGTCAGAGTGAGGGAGGGCTCCCAGGTCACCACTGAGGGGGCAGGAACATGGTGGCCCAGGGAACCACCTGGGACCAACCCTACCTGGGGATGTCAGGTAGGGGTCTTTGTTGTAAACAACAGAAACGAATCCTGTAAATGCATCAGCACGGACTTTATTGGAGGCGACTGACCGTACACAGAAGGGGTTGGGGGAGTGAAGAAGCCAGCACAGGAGGCAGTGGGGTGCTAAGCCACACGGGTGAGGTGGCGAGGAGAAACCAGCTTCCCTCCTTTCACTCCTCTCAAGGCCCCAAGGCCTGGAGCGTCCAGCTGGCCTCCCTGGGTCACTACCAGCCGGGCTGGGTGGCAGGGCACGTTGCTTTGGGGGAAGTCAGTGGAGAAATGGGTGACCTGTTTCCAGAGGGAGAAAGGCACAGAGGTGGCCGGGCGACCACAGATGCCTAGGGCGGGGACCCATGAAGGGACTTGGCAGCGTCTTGGCTCTTAGTAAAGAATCCTGGGGTGCAGATGGCTTGAGCTCTTGAGTGTTTGGGTGCCCTGTGGAAGATCACTCAGCAGCAGGATTTCTGGGCCGAGGCGGGGACACAGCAGGCCGGGCGGGAGCACACGGGGCGGCAGAGCAGGGACATGCAGGAGGACGGGCGGCAGCAGCTGGGCTGGCAGGAGGAGGCAGGGCCACAGCAGGAGGAGGCGGGCACGCAGCAGGCAGGCCTGCACACGGGGCGGCAGATGAGGGACACGCAGGAGGAGGGTCTGCAGCAGGATGAGGTGCAGAGGGTGGGCTGGCAGCAGGAGGAGACCCCAGAGCAGACGGGTACACAGCACAAGGGCTTGCAGCAGACGGGTGTGCAGCAGACGGGTGTGCAGCAGGTCTGCTGGCACGGGGAGGAGGTGCAGCAGGTG